GTGCAATATACGGAAGCTAAGCTTTTCTAAGATATTTGATGGCTAAACAGTCAAATCTGATCATAATAAAATATGTTTGTTTTAACTGTGACATTAAAAACAACGAAATTGCATAGGTATATTATACAGCTATAATAATGCTCGTGGTTTACAAGAATATTTTCCAAGTATTAAGTTTTCGCAGAAAGAAAACGTTTTAAAAATGAAAAATATCGTTTAAATTTTGTATTGTATCACGGAATGTACTTCAATAAAACAAATTACTTTATATGTATACGGTTTTATGGGTTTATTCGTTAAAGTCATTGAATTAATAATAAATGGAAAAGTACCTATTTATTCATGACTATTTTTCTCTGGGAGTTTGTGAATACTGAATACGCATCTGGTTTTTGAATTATTCCAGTAAAGCTATTTCATTAAAACGACATGCCGAATTCGAGGAATTTCACACCTACGGGGAAGGGGGGGGGGTACAATCTCGCATTTATACGATGTCTCTGAGAAAAAGCTCAACCACTAGATGAAGGACACTTCATCCCGTTGCTATGTGAAGTTCATTGAGATTTGTCTTGCTTGAGAAATAAAAAAGGCTACGACGACACTCAAAACTTTCAAATGATTGTCTCCGTCGAGTGCTTTTGAATGAAGGCGAAATTGCCAATAGAGTCCGGAAATTATTATCAAGAAGTTAGTTTTGTTTGGCTTAGGCACGTATTGGTCATGCTCGTGCTATACACGCATTCACGTAAAACAAACAACTGGAATGATAAAAGAATAAAGTAAAAAAATAAACTTAAGTTAGTGTACCCAGTGAAAGGGACTCCTCTTAAGTTTCTATTTAAAATGCAATGATACTTGAACATTACCTGTTTAATATTAAAAAGAAAGATTTACATTTAGGGAACTTCAAAGGCTAAAACAAAAAGTTGTTTAGAAATTATTTATATTATAAAATTCACATTGACATTAAAAACAAATGGAAATGTTTTATTATATTCTTATTTACATAAAATTTTTGTCGTCGTGTATTTATCATGGCATTATTACATTTCTATATAATTTCCATAACGCAGTAATATGATTTTTTTAACCTTAAAAAACAGATAAATATTATATAATAAGTACTGCAGTTGCAATATATTTTTATTTAAAACATACATATTATCTTGTTATTGATTTTTAATTTTTTTCCACGAAAAAAAAACTAGAAATATTAAAATACAATAAAATAAATAGTATCCATGTTGATTAATTTTTATGAAAAAAACATTTAAAGTCGAACAATAGTATCAAATTAAAAAAACAAAGCTGGACTGGATACAAAGACCAAGTGTAGTCGGGCAGCGGTTTTGTTTCGTTATTACATTTGTCCGAGATAGTGGTGGATGCTAAATAGTTTTAGAATTAGGTATGCTGAATATTGAATGCAATGATTTATTATATTGTTTTCGAAAAACTATATCCTGAGCTGAACTCGTGGATTAAAAAGCGATTTAAAATTATTGTTAGTTAGGTACTCGTTAACAGAAGAATGAATAATATCTGCAGTCAGAAACGTATTTACGAGGGCTGCTAGAGGAAGGCAAGCTCTCTTGGCTGTCAATTTTTCGCATATTATTTAGGATTATAATTATAAATATAATTAGTATTTAATCATTATTATGACCCGAGATTATTTTATATAACCATAATAAATTAGTTTTTACTACTTACCTATTGGCCATTGAATTTATTTATATATTTTAATGGTTTTCATAATTTGCATGTTATGTTATTATGGAATGTTATGTTATGTAATTTAAAAAAAAAATTGACCTAATAACTCAAGTTTTTATTTATTTTTTATATTTCATATATTTTATTTATAGTACTAGTAAATTAATTAAATTATACATTTGAAAAAACTTAATAATGTTATGAATTTATAATTGAATACCTTATAATTAATTTATTTTAAAAAAAATATCTCTAAGCTTATTTGTTTTTGTCGGCATGAATTTTTACTGTTGAATAAATAAATAATATTATTATCTCTTCACTTATGGTATGGGCTTTTCCTGATTTAACCGACTGAATATTATTTAATAAAATTGTAAATTGCAACAAAGTTCACGAAAACCAATAGAACATGCTCGGATCGAACAGTGTACCTACAAAAAAATGTTGGTCAAGATAATGAAGCAGTACCTAAATAAAATATAATGTGCAAGCGCAATCGCCAAAATAATAAAGACAATAAATTTGAAAACAATCAAAGATAAGTTACATTGTGCAATGTGCATTGCTCACATAGTTCCTATTAGTGACTGCTAGTTATTATGTATGGATTATCAAGTATGTATTATTTTCAGGTCGCACCGTGTACGTTTTTACGTGAACACGCTCATCGTCCCTCTTTTTTTCAAAACATGTATTTACAGCCCCCCCTACCTCCCGAATCAAGTTCACTGCCCCACAGTTCACCTCCACCACTTCCGCTGAGAACCACCGGTAACCGGTATACACAATAGGCGCAGACATCATAATAATAATATTATAATCTGATGCTTATCCGCAACAATCCATATGAAATACTAACATCCAACCCAGAGACGACATCGGGTTTTCTTCGACTACTCAAAGAGACGAACCTTATCCAGAAAATATGACATGTTCATAGTAGGTACTACATACTCATATAGATTGATCACATGCAATTCGACGGACATAAGCCTTTCATATGTACGACACTTCAAAGATTTAGTTTAAATCTTTTAGACGTGATGTATTTCAGAAACGCCAATAACCTTAATAGTCGTGTCGCCGAGAAAAAATAATAACAGTATAGGTACATATAAGAACCATGTTCCCGTATTTTACACTCCATAAGTCCATAATTTGCTATAATTATGTACGTGTGCGACGTGTGCAGCAGCAACGGCTATATATATATATATATCAATATCATCGTATTGGCGCATAATAGGATAACCGTGTCGTTTTTTCGCCGGACGAAAATAATAACAATATAATATTTAAGTTTACGGGAACAGAAAAATATTACAGTTATAATAATAATAATAATAATATTATTGTATAATATCGATAAAAGGGGCGAACGGCTCATAGTATTAGTCATAGTTTTTACGGAGTTTGGATGTATCGCCGAAGTGGCGGCGGCGGTGAGGGGATGGCTTGGTGGGGAGGGTGAAGCCGCAATGAGTAATATACGCCCGGGACAGACCTCTACTATACGCTTGCACACAAGTCCAACGTCGGTGTGTATGCGTGTATTTGTTTATGTATAATGTGCATATATATATATATATATATGTACGTGTATATGTGTATGTATGTGTATAACAATAATAACCGAAGGGGCAAACTGTGGCGTCGTAATTGGCGCGTCGCGACGCCACTGGCGCCAGCCGGTTTCCAAGGATACGCTATATGGTCTCGTCCGGCTGGTGGCGGCGCGGGCGGGGAGGACAATGTTTTTCTTTCCGCCGAACGACGACGACGGTCCATATTCCGCTGCAACGGCCCCAAGTCTGCAGAACGACATAATGTTCATGCGTGTCATATACATTATATTTTATACATTTTATTTTTATTTTCCATTATTGGTTTTAAAACGTTGTATGCTTTTATGGCCTATTTTGTGCAAACAAAGTGTACCGGGTGATTCATAAACACCACGCTTTTATTCAATAGTGTGTTGTACGGAATAAAATCAGATTTTCGAAACTTGTCGATTATCTCAAAGACCATACTATATATTATAGGTATTCAAATATTTTTAATTTTTTTTTTTTTTTGTACTATCTGCTTGAGGAGTGTTCGCGCTGTGGAGATACAACTTCTGTTTTTCAAATAAGAACTGCGCTTTTCTGTTATAAATTATAGAGTGGATAAGACTAACTGTGTTTTATGAATTAGACCTCCTCTCCTGTAGACAAAGATAGTAGAGTGTAATTTATTTTTCAGTAGATAATTTTTTTGAAAATGTTGATTTGAAATATATCGATGTACACTGTAAGTATGATGCATAATAACAATAATAAAAGACATTCGAAAGGATACTTGCGCAGTAAAGGGCTGCAATGCACAATAAATTCGTCGGTCGTATTATTTTTTCCCTTTCGCAAACTGCCAATCCATTAAAGCCAAATGCCTTACACCCGAATCAACCGAAACCCCTAACACCCAAATGATTCTGCTTTCAAAACACCCGAATTAACCAAGACCTGAATAAAAAATTCTGGTTAACCCAAAACCCAAATAGTTCTGTTTTTAAACTCATTTTGGCGGTCATTTTGTATATATTTCTTGGGGTCAGTTCGATTTTGTAGTTATATTTTAAGTTAGTTTTATTTTTATTTATTTTTTGTTTTATTATAACTATAAATATTATTAACAGGAAAAATTTCACAGTCAGTTAAAGGTAAAAAAATAAATATTGTCTTAAAAATAAAATCATTTTTAAACATTTTTTTTTCAGCTTAACAATTATTTTATGGCTCAGTCTACGGAAAAAAATTATTTATTTCAAGAGTACTGAACACCCGTATTAACCAATAGTAACCCAAATTATAACAGTTATTAACACCAAAACAGTTTCAATTATTGTTTTGATAACGTTAGATTTTATATTAAAATTTAAAAATTGAAAAAAGCTCACAGGTATTATTGATTTTCCACAAAGATATTTTTATCTTTATCTTCATCCCAAATATATGGGTTATATATTTAATATTTTATCATTTTTAGGATCAAAGAAAAAGCGTACCAAACCTACAAAAAGTTAAAAACTGTCTAATATGTAAACCTATTACAGTACATAGAGCTATAATAGTGCCACGAGATTGAGTTTTTAAGCCTTTAAAACTTTTAATATCACGATTATCCATAATATTCTAATATTTCACTATTATAATTTTAGTTTTATGAATCAAACTAAAACAGTCTGTGTGTGCATAGCTTTTAAATCAAAAACATCAATATTTTTTATTTATAATTTAAGAATAATGAACAATATATTCTGGGTAAAAAGTGTTATCGTCATATTTGACGAATACTTGTCCTCCGTTCCCAACTGTAGTATCACAATCTTTTGTCGAAGGTATTTCCAGATGATAGTTAACGCCTGTTATTTCTGTTTTTTTAACTAGCACTTTGGCGATAATAAATGCTAAAATCATATACTAAGATTGAAGTATGCATAAATCAAAAGTACCTTTTAAATGTTCTAAATGTGACTAGTTAATTTACCTTCCTTCCCGCCAGCATATTTATTAGCATAAAATGGACACGGTGAAAAACAGGCACCTTTTCCAAATCTAGTGCGGTTTGTCAATCGCCAGTCGATATTTTTTTGTGCAATACTCATCGCATTCCTTATACTAGTCCCGTGGAACAAAGTTTCCTCGCACACTTCACCACTGCTATAATCTAACTGCATTTCTTCCTTGTGTAATAGATAGATGCCATACAATTTACAGTTGTTAATCTTTTGAACTTTCAGAATCTATAATTTACATATATTTTTATATAATACTAGCTGTCTCACGCGGCGTTACCGGTGCCAAAGATTTGTTTCCTGCAAAAAATGCCAACTCTATATTATTTAAACTTTTTTCTATTTGTTGTTTGATTTTCGGTGTAATGGTGTTCGAAACTTAAAAAATTGTGTCGTTCATCTTAAAAGCTTTCTTATAGTGCACATTCACATCGGAGACACCATAAAAATTTAAATCAATAATCTATAATTATCTGGGCTCTACGTTGATCTGTCGGTGAGTCAGTCTGGACAAGTTCGATTATATTATTATATTAAAGTCATCCCACCCAACATTTCCGATGAGACACACTTGTGAGTAGTGATTATGCGAGCAGTATATTTACAGGTCGATTAAAGGAAGAAAAAAGTTCAATAGTGTCCTCAGAAAATTGGTACATAACAAAGGCCTGTTCTTCTATATTATATATATATATATATATATATATATATGGGTTATAACAAAATTAAACGAGAAGTTATATTCATTTACTGTTGGTTAATCAATTATGCGTAAATTGTATGTATGTATATTATTTTTATTTTTGAGAAGGTAGTTTGATTATAATTTATGTATTTTTTATCAAACCAAACTCAACGAACTTCTTATCAATTTAATATTATTTATATTCAATTAAGTAACACACATTAAAATACGTTAACTGAGAGCTTAGTTTAATAAATGGTGGAATTTACTTTCCAATTCAACGTTTCAATTATTTTATGATAAATTAGTATTCAAAGCTTACTTGAAAATTATTTGATATTTTGTCAAAATATTCATTATTTGCATACTCGTAATCTGTATACTCTTCTAGTAAATCATCTTTTCCGTCATAAATATTTCTCAAAACTTTAGCTTTCGAAAAATGTCTTAAAAAACATGTAAAATGTAAAAATGTAATTAATAATATTATTTAGAAGTATATCATATTATAGTTTGTTATTATATAAATATGTACTCGTATATTATATTATTAATTACATGTGTGACTGTTTTTGTACAACTACAGGGTATATTAAAGTATTTTCACCATTTAGACATCGATATAAGATATTTATGCACCAACCTTATAAAAAGTTAAAACTTTAAAATATATTAAAATTCAAAATACAAAATTGAGTTCAAACCTTTAAAATGATAAAAATGCATTTTTTTGTAATCATTAATTAATATTAGTTATTGCTTATTAAATTCTTACATAATTTTATTTTTGAAATAATTATGTTAAAGAATACAAATTAATATCAATATAAATAAAAAAAAATATATTTTGTATTTCAGATTTAAACCTCTACAACCTGAGAATATTAGGTGAATGCTACTGGTATTCTATATACTATCCTAATTCCTAGACATATCTACTAGATATAAACATATAAAATATGATAATAGATACGTTCAGTACAAAAGTTTGGGTATGGCGTAATAAATTTCAACGTATTTCGATTTTATATTGTGACTATATTTTATAACACTACTTATTAATATATTTTTCTAAGAAATAAACCAACATCTTGAATGCCATAACTTGTAGGAAAAGTGGTATTTAAATATTTAATTCAAAATTAAATTTCGAATTTGTTGTCTCGATAAATTAAAATAAAAGATTAATTCTTAAAAGGTAATATTGTCACTCATTGTCCTGGTTACCAGGCATTGCGAAATGAACAATTTTCAGAAATGGAATTATTAATTGACTTTTGGTGTCAACTTAATAAGGTTTTGTTACCGATATCCGCTTTCTAAACTGGCCAATATACTCGGTAACCATTCGATGATTATTAAAATATACTGTTAAATTTTAACCGTTTTCTGGAAAACCCGATAAACAATTTCAAACCCAGATTTTCACTCGTTGTTCAAATTTGTTTTAAGTCTGTATTTTGGCATTTGCATGAGCGATGAGGTTATTAATAAACTATGTTAAAGCGAAGAAATCGTATTCTAAAAACGCGATTTAAAGAGAATTTTAACATTTTAAATATATTTTGATATAATATCTTCTTAAGTTTTTCTTATAGGTATTTCTCAAAAATACATAGCTAGGAAGCAGGCCTTTTTTCAATTTTTCGCAAATTTTATCAAAACCATATATTTTTTTTTTTATTTGTAGGGTTTTTTTTATGATTTCAAATTTATAACATAACCGTCACCAAGACCTACTCAATGAAAAAGTAGGTACTAACATGCGAAGCATATTGTACAACAGACCATCCTCTCTAGTCCTTAGTTCGAGACCTACTTAATAATGAACAAAAATTACTGTTTTTAAAAGCTATATCTATATACCGATTTCCATTGGTGATATATAGATTTAATTAAACTATCCGTATTATACTAAGATGGTTTGTTAATAATTTATCGTTTTCTATTAATTAATAGGTAATAACTTATTACTAATAAGTTATTTAGGATACTTACATGGGTTCTAAAGACATGCATATCATGTCTTTACATAACATGCTTTACAGTCTGGTATAATTATTATTGGATAGTTTTTAACTGAAAATATACTTCAATTTGTGAATTGTTTTAAGGTTAACTTGAGATCGATAATCTCACTTTTTAAGATGTTGACACTTTCCTTAAAATTTGATTTTAAAACTGAATAAATAATTATTGAAGTTAAAAATTAGGATGATCAATCAATAGTGAACTATATAACAAATATACATAATATTATGTTTCAATATTTTTTAATAATATTACTAGTTTATTGAGTAAATAATTATCAAAAGATGTCTATTGAATAACTATGAAAATACAAATAATAATGAACATCATTAAAGTTTTTTAATCACTTAATGTGTATCATAGGAACAAAATGTACATAGGTACATTCAAACTGTGTGAAAAATCCATCAATTAATTTCAAATATAATACATTATTATAATAATTAAATAATAATAATATAATAATATAATAATATTGTAATGTTTTCGTCAAAAATTAAATAAGCTTATCATAAATTGTAACACGAATAGTAAAATAAATAATTTAAATAGCAACATTAAAAAGCATATTATGAAATATGCTTAAGAAGCTTAGGCAGATAGACAGAATCAGTTCGGCCTTCAATCAGATCGTTTTTCCTTCTCGATGATCTCGTTACATATATTATATTGGCATATTGCATATAGACTTATTCAATGACAAGAAATACTCGATGGATAATAACAGCTGTATGACAGGGCTGTATATTAAATCTACTTTTTAATATTTATATACGGTAGTACAAACAACAATTTTTTTTAGAGGGAACCAGTGGCGGCAGTCAGGCCATTGAGCATGGGGTGGTACGGTAGGGTTTTTTTTTGTTTATCTCCTTACATTTTTTTTAGTTATGTTGGTAGGGTAGTAACACGTTTTAGTGTATGTGTGGCAAGGGTATGTTTCTAAAAACCCGCGGGTGGTCAGTGGTCACCCATCCGGGAGCGAGCAACGGTGGTCGGTTCTTACACTCGGGGCGTTTCCGAAGATTGAACTTACGACCGCGCCTCACCAAGCCGCAAACAACAAATTATAATCCTACAAAAGAACAACAAGTAAATATGTTGTGGTTCAATATTTTCTACGTATACAATGACGTCACGTCATGAACGATTAGCTTGAACAGAAAGTCATGGCCCATGGGCGACATCTCTTCGTCGATCATAACATATTATTGGAATGTGCAGATGACAGCAGACGATGGTTATTCGGTTATTGTCTGAGAAAATGTGACAAACGAAATTATCATTTTCATCGCATATATATGCATATAGCACAATATAAGTGATGTAGACGGGTGAGTAAAGTTATTACGTTTTTTTTTTATTGAGTCGTGGATCTTATATAATTATATATAATTGGATAAATGTGTAAACATATCGACTGCGTAAGCCTTGCAAAACTCCAGTTGTCATAAGTCATTAATTAATTTATTGACAGCTATGTATGTAAGTCACAGACATGTCGTTTATTAAAGTGTGATTTGTTCGTCGTGGCGATGAAAATACGTCTTGCAATACAGTTGTGACAGAAGAGCTCCAGACAGTACCTACTAACGGTTTTTAGTCTATATTCGAAATGGCAGTACAGATATAATATAATTTAAGTACAAACAATTTAATTTTAGTACCAGCAGTTTGTTATTTTGGAAGCTGCTTTCATTATGATTTAACACAATTTTAAATTGTTTTCCATATATTATTACACATACTATAATAATTTTGTTTTGCTATCAAAGTTGTATTATTAGCTATTCAATAATAATGATTAAAAAAAAGCCCAAGCTAATGAGTAATGACCCAGTCTTATTCTCAAAAAAAAAAAAAAGATATAAAAATAACATTAACTCGGAGAAATCGCTCCAGTGTATATTAGTATATTACTTATTTATAGATTTAGAGTATACTTCATAATGAGTGATAGGTCACAGTAATGGATGTGTTAAATTTGAATTCAATCATATAAATTATAAATCTTAGGTACAAAAAAATATTCTGCGCAGAAACGGTGTCTGCAGCATCAGATACTAATTTAAAACATATTTTATTGGCATTTTATATTATATTACTAATAATTACTCTATTTTGCTTAGAATTTATAGCTAAAAAAAAAGAAAAAAAGAATTTAAACAAAAATACATTTAAATAATTAGTATACAATATGTACATTGCATTGTACCGGTATAAGCGACTTACTGATAAGTGCCAATAATTTTTGCTGTTTCAGCTTGAAATCAAGTAATAAAAAAAACATAATATTATGTGAGTTGTTATTTTATGTTCACGGACGCTAAAATATTTTCTTATATTACCATATAATATCTTTATCAAGTTGATAGTCATATTAAGTTAAAATTTAATCTCTTAATTCGTAGAAATAATTATAAATACAATATACATAACATTATATTATATTAATAAAAAAGATAATTATCTTATTTTATACATAAAGATAAAGTATTTTATGGTAGGTACTTTGTGAAGTAATAACTATAAAACAGGAACACAACAATTTAACTGAAATTGTCTATGGCATATACATTATACATATATAGAAAATATGTACGATAATAATATAACAAAATTAATTATACTGAACACAATTCTGATATACATATACAAATACAATAATATATATATATTCTGTATAGTGACTTATTATAACTAGATGCATTAGTAATAAGTAATAACTAAATATTAATTTATTGAACACTGCTCAAAGTGTTTTGGTGTCGTGCTATTGTATTTACCATTTGTTAAGGGGACATTATCAGTGCAATGTTTTGATTTTATTATTACAATTTTTATTTTGAAATCGATGTAAAAACTAACAAATTGACATATTGGCGTACACTTTGCTTTTGTTGAATGGCGGGGATGGGATTACTTTTTGTCGAAAAGGTCATTCGGACTGATGAGCATCGAGAGTAATAATAAGAAGAGAAGGCGAACCGCTTTCGGAACGGCTGAATGATATTATTTTACGATCGAACCCTGAACCGATACTATGGTATTTTATTGTTTTATTCATTGATGTTTTCGAACTAAATCTAAGATTGTAATAAACAAAAAAAGTTTCTATAATAGGTTTATCTGGTTTTCCATTCGCGTGGGAGATCTCATTTAAAAGATGTCAATGGTCATTTTGGCGGCACTCGATCGGTTTTCTATAGCCTTTGATAGTTTGGTGGCCTCCGAGAGGGTCCATGTGGTCATCATTTGAACATTTCGCCAACATTCTATTTGCCGAAGCAGATTCTCAGAACGAAGATTTGTCCAAACTTATTAGTCACTGCAAACTTAAAATGGTCGTAGTCATTTTTTGTTATTTTGTAGGCACTCGGAGTTTTTACTTACAAATCAGTGATCTCAGGTGTACGACTTATTTTTTTGGCCGGCAATAATTATTTTTCGATGTCATCGGTATAATTCAAACCCAAAAAACACATTCATTGTTTTTAGTATGCGTTTAAGATTTAAGAGGACACCACCTCGCATGCATTGTCTCCACCCTACAAACAAGTATAACAGGACAAATTATGCGTTCTGAATGATCGATTTATTTCTGTTATGATTAGTATTATAGAATCTACTTATTATCAAATTTAGAAGTAAGATTATCATCTAGTGAATCTTACAGGTTTTATTTTTATATTTTAATTTTAAAACAAGTTATGAGTATTTTAAAATTCACAAACAATTTACAATTTTTAAATACTTATTACTTGTTTTAAAATTAAAATGTAAATAGACCTTATGAAGTTCACTAGATAATAACAATTTCAAATTATTCTTGGTTCGTACGGAACGAGGTACCTACTTCACATCCACTTCAGAGGATGTCAGAGCAATATTTGTTTTCTCTCTCAGACTCACTTATAACAGTTATAACATAGATAAAAAGCTTACACATAAAATCATTTTTATTATTTTTTAGCTACCTTACAATAAAATCACATATTAACAAAATTATAGAGGATAATATTTTTGAGGGTATGACATAGCTTTTTTTATTATAGCTTTAAGTAACAACTAATATAGCTCAACAATTACGTTAAAATTATTATTATTTTTTTTTTATTATTATTTATTATAAAAATGTACATTTAAAGTAATTAAAGAACATAGATATTAAATAATGAAGCCAGCATCCGACATATCGGTTTAATATTGCATTATAATTTGGCTTTGTATAGGACTCTCCAAAAAAAAAAAATTGTTAGTTTAAACGATGTTTAAATTGTTTGAGAGAATATTTAGGTAAATCGGTATGTGATTCCCTCAAAAATATTATTCTCTAGCAATTTTGACTTTTGTCATGTATGATTTTCCTCTAAGATTATTTAAAACATAAAAAATATGATTCTGCGTGAATGCGTTTTGTATAATATGTTGTATGTGGGCCAGATGGAGAAAACTACCAGTGAGGCGACATCCTTTTAAAGCTACCTCCAATCAATTGTTAATAATATATAATAATAACACCTTTAGGATACTATACACTTTTAATTAACTCTACGTGCATATAAAACATATTACTCAAAACACTACCAACTAAATAACAAGTCTAGCTTTTTTGTAATTGTAGCTTATATTTTCGCATGGTAAAAAAAAAAAATGTAAAAATACGTTTATTAATCACTATTTCAGATTTCTATAATATAACTCATATTCATTATTATTATCTACCAATATAATATTATTATTACCTACTTTTGAAAACCTACCTATGACAAATAAAATAAAAAACCTACATATTCATTATAAAAACATTTCAGTTATCAATAAAGTTTTATAATACAATGTATAAATTTAAGTTGTTTTGATAAAATAACAGTTTTATTCTAAAAACGATTCAAACTTTTTAGCAATAAAAACAAAAACAAAAGAAAAATTTAAAAATAAACTTTGGAAACTAAATTTAGGTGTACCGGAAAAAGTAATAGAATTCTGAAAA